ACCATCAAATTTTACACAAAGGAAATATATATCATTACATGACAGCTAAAACTTTTCGAATTTTAAATTTATATCATTTCGCTTATCCGAAAAAAAGAAATGATTGCAATATTTGGAAATTCCATAGATTGCTACAGCTTTTCGAATTTTTACTTTACGTCAGTTCGTTTATGCGAAAATTCTAATATTACACATTTACGCTAATTATCCGAAAGAGCGTAAAGGGACAACTTAAACAGCATTGACGTACAAGGAAGAAAATTTAACGTTTCCTTACCGCCAAAGATTTTCAGAGGTTCACATTAACCGCTTTTTGCTTCTCACGAACAACCTACTTTAGTACACATTTGCTCTCATTATCTGTAATATCTTAAGGCAAATAACTATTGGGTTGGTGCATAATTATCAGGCGTTTTAAAACAATATTTATTATGAAAAAAGAAGTACACCAATTCAACAATAATATTTTTAAATGAGTATGATTCGACACGCATTTTTATAAACTGAAAATGAAATAATATATTTTATTAAAAAATTAAACAAACAGCAATTTTTCTTAACAAATAATTCTGCTACAAAAACGCCTGTTAATTATGCACCAACCCACTATTTGCCATTGATTTAGACTGTAAAAAGAGTTGGAGCGTTCCCAGACGGTCTAACATTTTACAAAAAATAATTTACGTTAGTTAATTTTTACAAAAGACTTACGTTAGTGTATGTTTACAAGCGCTATTCAAAATGGCATTAGGCGATGCATTGATTGCTGTTTATTTTGGCTCTAAGAGACATTTGAAGCTTTCGAAATTTCATTTTAAGCCAGTTAAATTTTACAAAAGAGACAAATACATTAATATATTCGAAACATTTGGACCGTTTCTAGGCTGCTACAGATTTTCGAAATTTCATTTTACGAAAGACCTACTGAATACATGATTATCATAATAATTCTTTTAGAGATAATAATGGTCAATGATGATATATATTACTAATTAACCCTAGCTAGGGACAGAAGAGGCTTCCGTAGGTGTAAAAGTTAGACATACTTATACTTGGGTCTATATATGAACGGATTGTTAATATTTATGTCTGCAAGTATTCACTTGTAAGTTGGCTCAATCCGGTAGAAGTGTATTATCCCTCTACAAGGCCCCACCGACGGAAATGGGGGAAAATTGTATTATAATAATCGTTTGATGACTTCAAGAAAAAGTTTGGAATTTTTAACACCCACAAGAAATATTGAACAAAGTGCAAAATAAGTTTTTCCTTAAACTAAGTCATGTAGTAAGAATGAGATGGTTGATGGGATAGACTGTCAATTAGATCGCACTATACCATTTAATATTACTAGCCGAAAACCTGTTTTGAAAACCTTTTTAGTAAGGCTGCAAAAATTAAAAAAAAATGCTGTAAATAAGTATTTGATTAATTTTTCCATTTCACGGAAACAGACTTTAAGCACTTTTATCTTCCATTTATTTATTTCTTACTTTCTATGACTTTCTCGCTGAAAGCAAGTAACGTCAATACAGAATATTATTTATATCAAATGTATTGATAGGGAGTAACGGTCGGTCTAATTAACTAAGGCAATAACTAAGAAAGGGAAGGACAAGCAGAATTATAATAGAGATTATTATTAATATTGCTGTTATTATTCCTATTTTTTTATTTCCGTTGATTTCTGGCGTTTACACATTTCTTTGCGTGGCCCGCCCAGAGACCTAAGGTTAGAAATGGCATCATTAAACTTTCCACTGATGATATATATATATATATATATATATATATATATATATATATATATATATATATATATATAAAGACCTTCGTAAAGTGTGGGCTGTACTTGTCAGAGAATTTTTTTATATTTCTTTGATGCATGTGATTCCAGGAATCCCTTCAATCAGTCTACTGGAGTCTTTTCAACCAATCCTAGGACTCCAACTGCAACATTTTTGAGATTTCGATTATAAGGTCCTTGTATTTTGACAGCATTTTGAATATCTTCAAAGATACATTATCATTATTATTATTATTATTATTGTTGTTGTTGTTTTTGTTGTTGTAAATCCGTCTAATGTTTAGTTTTCTATTGAAGAATAAACACGACCAATATTCATATACTTTAGGGGAAATGCGACAAAAACTTGCATATTATCTGGACGCTAAAAAAAGATTTCAACATTAAATCATCCAACATGTGTTTTGTATGTCGTAAGATCCATGAACAAAAACAACGCGAGGATTGAGTGAGGATATATTTCTGAATTTAAGATAACAATAAAAAATACATCTTGAATTATGAAGAAGTAACTCGTTCCGAACTTTTACCATTATGAAGACACATTCCTTTCCTATCTCTATAAATACATTCCGTTTATCTGTATCTTATTCTAAGCCAAATCTCTGCTCTGGAGCTCTTAAAATTAAAACAAATATATACATAAACCAAGGAATAAACCAAAGATAGATTTTTGTTGAAATATAGAGTAAAATCCTTTTTCCTATTTCGGTGCCAAGAATATGTTATTCTTGACTATTTTCTTTTAGATCTGGACTCTAGATCCCTGTTGTACTTTTGGAGAGACCAATATCTTTCATTCAGTCATTAAGTTCATCCCCAGAAAATGGCTGTTGTTCTTTGCTGTAATATGTTGAGGCAAATTCTCCATCTTTAACTGCAGCATTTTAGATTCTTTCAGTGAATTCTTTATACAATCATGATTGTCAGTTGCATTAGGAACAGGTAGATCACCTCCATTTGTTTCCAGTTAATTGCTGATGAAAGATTAGTTTTAATTAGCTCTTTATGGACGTTTCTGTCGTATCCTTGAACTTTTCCAGGAAGAAGGAGCGGCTCTTTCCAAATTCTAATACACGTTTTTGCCTTTTGTTCATTGGTGGAATATGTTGAGATGAATTCTTCATTTTTACCTGCAGTATTTTGATTTTTTAAGTGACTACATAATCACGATTACCTCTTAGTAACTGATAGCTCATATCTTTTTTTGTTTCAGGTCTAATTGCTAATGAAAGATTAGGATTAATTATCACTTCATGGTCGTTTTTGTGTGTATCCTTGAAAATTTCCACGAAGAGTGAGAGGCCGTTTCAAAAATTTGCTGTTTCTCATTATAGCATTGATATAACAAATCCCATTGTCGATGTTCTCTGAGAAGAGTCCATTTCATTAGAATCGTCTCTAAAGTTTTAGTCCACAATCCCCACCGTAAAATCCAGTATTGTATATATATATATATATATATATATATATATTATATATATATATATATATATATATATATCCAGTCTTGCTTATAACTTTATAAAGATAGAATCCAGTATTAATGAGACTTTTCTACCTATAACCAATTATTATACACTGCTCATTTTTTTTCTTTTTTGTAAGGAACAATGATTCAAGAATCAACAGAATATATTGTTGGACTATCTGTTTGTTCTCTAACCCAACCAATACCCATCACGATTAGCCGCTAATTTTACCCTAAACTACCAACCAGCAATCCCCGTTTTCATTAATAAATCAAAAGCATTAGATATGTTTCATCTTCAAGCGTATTTTGGAATAACTTATTTTGAAATTTACTGAGCACATACATTGATAATTTTTGTTTCCAGGGATACAGAGAAATCCAATCATTTAGACAGGGGCGGTAGCGTGTTCACTTTTATTAACTATGATTGTATCAATTATGAGTTACGACCGAAAATAGGTTAAGTCTAGGTAGGGTAGGTGTGCCTTTTTAAACGAATTATGACATGCATTCAACACGTGTCGTCTGTTTTTTTTTTATCAACCACAAAAGGGTTTTCGGTATTTTTCCCGTTAAATTCATACATAAAACTCTTTCTAAAAGGGGTGTTTGGATTAGAATACGTTGCATTGAACTACAACTTTAAAATATAATTTTTCATTTTAATTACTAATAGACTATATTTTTTATCAAAACAAATAAATGTAATAGAATTACTTAAATTATTTAAAAATTATTACTACTTAACAAATATAAGTATATATATTATCAGCTTTAAAAATGTATTTTATTTTCAAATATTACTTAACAAAACTTTTTGACACTGTCGGCAAAGAATAGCTATTTCATTTCTTTGATTCAGTAAATTTTTATATTTTATATAACCTAGTAATATATAGGTTCTCATGTATGCACAAAGGACATGGGTCATTTAAGGACCTACATATTCTTGCTTTTGTGCGTGTGTGTGCATTTAGGCAGTATGTCAAGGATGTTTGGTTGAGTATTACAAAGATATTGTGCCTGTTTATTCTGATACTGATACTTTCCAGTTTTCTGATAATGATCTTTATTTTTAAAATTTATCCAGTAAAATGTATTACGACCGTAGCAGCAAAGGTTCATACAACAAACATTTAATTCAATTTTCTATTTCCACCAATTTCCAGTTAGCTCCAGTGTATTGAAACGCTTGTTTTGCTAAAGATTCCATAGCTGCTGTGGATAAATTAAAAATTTTAAAATAATTACAGTATGCATTGGCGCATGTTTTTTTTAAAAAATCCCCATCACAACCGAATTCAGTTTATATTACAGTTGCATTAATTTTCTCTTTGTATTTTTACCTATGAAGATGACCTTGGATAAGATCGAACGTACATGGGTTAAAAGAAACTGCGTTACCTTTCTTGATGAATTTCATCTTAGCATCAAGAAAATGATTAGAGAACTGGAAAGGTTCAGCATAAAATAAATAGACACACGTGTCTTTATTATTCAATGAAACAAACACTTTCTCTCTGTTTATATATATAAAACGAATTACGCTATAAAAACAAAAGTTTTATATGCAGAGACCCGACAATATATTACGCAACTATTAGAATTGCATACTACATTATTTTTCAATGTAACCGCCGGCGGCGTCGAAGACCATCTCAGTGCGGGCGCGAAATGAGTCACAGGCTTTGGCGACGATGTCCTTGGCCATAGCGGCGAATGCCTCCACCGATGGCAGCCTTCAGAGAATCGACCGAGTTGTGGGCGGGCTTATTGGTCATGGACTCGTTCACGCCCCAGATTAAAAGTTATTGCAGTCGGGTGAGGAGGACGCCAAAATCCGGTGATCAGTGGTGAGAAACATTGTTGAGCAGCGACACCTGGGTCGTCTTGGCCTTGTGTGCAGGAACGAAGTCCTGTGGGAACATGTAGGGGCGTCCTGAAGCGATCTCGTTCATCTAGGGCTTCACCACTCTCCTCAGCACCACCTGGTAGATCTCAGCGGTGATTCTCAGGCCCTTTTGAAAGAAGAACGGAAGCATGACGTCCCCCTCGCTGGAGATGTCGCCAAGGACCATGGCAGAAGAAAACTCCGTATGCTTCACGGCGGGAACCTCATCCATGTCTTTGCAGATCGACCTATCGTTCTTCCTGTCGTCTGGTACTGGATGATATTCTTTTCATTAGAGAAGAACCTCAGCATCCCGGCGGACCCGTGCTTGAGCTCGTTCAGCAAAACCGCCGCCTTGACCTCCCTCGACAACTTGCAGGCATTCGTAATGAGCATGCGGTAAGACTTGCGGTAGAAGGAGTAACGAATGTCCTTCTTGATCGTTCAGCAGATCGTCGACTTGTGACAGCCCATGTCAGCGGCGATCTTGGCGGAGCTCCGGCTTCTGTCTCCTTGACGGCGGCGACGATCTCGTCGGTCTTAACAGAACGAACGTAGTGGGCCTTTCGTTTGGCAGTAAACTCGTCCATGTGCTCACACGCCTTCCACTTCCTCCAAATGTCCATGACCATGGTCCTCTTGAACCCAAACAAGGCCATCACTTCCGCAGGCTACTTCCCGGCGCGAAAAGCTACTACCGCTGCTCTGCGTTCATATTCAATCCTGGAGTTGGATAGAGAGAAAAAACGTTAGTTAGTTTTCAAAATGTCGGGTACCTGCATATAAAACTTTTGTTTTATTTCCTATTTCGTTTTCTTTTTGTCAAGTGTCGGATTTTGCAACAACACCCTGTATATGAGACGCGCGTTTTAACGTAACAGTCCGGGTTAGTGGGTGCTCACTGATGATGAGTCCCATACATGACGAGACAGCTGTCCAGTGCTTTCTGCATTCTGTTGAGGATTAATCTAGACTCGATGAATTAGATCATGACTATTCTAATTCCTCCAAAATTCTATCACTTACGGTGGACTCTGTCGTATTCGACGTATGAGGGTCAAACATCTCAGTTCATAGGCAGCTCAGATCCGACAGCCGGATACCAGCACATATGATTTGATTATAGTGGTGACGTCTTTGTGCAGAACCAACCACACAACACATTTTAAAGGGCCGAATACAGAGACATAGTGCACTACGTGCTACAAACTCCCCAAATGCCTCTCCATAGGTTTTGTCCTTCTCCTAGACCAGCTGCCATCCAAGTCTGTAGAGTCCAATCTGACCCGTTATTTACCCATAGCTCGAGGAGGAAGAAGTGGATTAATACATTTACCAAGGAAATTTAATGGATTCGACTAGAATTCGAACTAGGCTCACCCATTCTTTAATCCGAAACACTACCTACTACTACACCCTACCTCCTATCTATCATATATATATATATATATATATATATATATATATATATATATATATATATATATATATATATATATTACATTAAACGATTACATCTCGTCCATAAAGGTTGTCTCCGTACAATCTGTGGGCTAACGTTTGATGATCGAGTGTCAAATGCCGACCTTTTTTTGGGAAATGCAAGATTGGTACTATTGAGAACTTCATATGGAGTCACAACTATGTTTGGATGGCCAGGTGGCAAGGATGATTAATGATCGCATACCAAACATTATCTTTTGCAGTGAACTTTATCGTGGTCATAGAAATGTTCATAGACACTTGTCTCAGGTAGAAAGATGAACTGAAAAGCAACCTTCTTTGCGTCAACATTTCATTTAAGAATTTTGAAGAGGTAACTATTAAGACAGAGAGTATCGTTCCAACTGCCATTCAGGAATAATGCACCATCAAGAAATAAGCATCAGTCGACTACGTGAAACACAAAAGAAAAATAAGACAACTAACAGTGTTTCTGTTGCACTTGAATACAATCCATTCCCCTGTATTGTTTGTAGTCTTTTGTGCAATTCTCCTGATGATTATGTCCCACATAAAACAGCCTGTCGCCTCTGAGTGTTAACTTCAATGTTCACTTTTATATTTATATTTACATACGCTCTATCTCTGATATTCGCACTTTATCCCATAAATATAGCACGCCTTTAAAGTATATTTCTTCATATATATATATATATATATATATATATATATATATATATATATATATATATTAAATTATTAATTTAAAAATATGATTCCGACTCGCGACATAAGAGGTCTCATGTTTCAAAACAAAAGCCGAAAACTTCAGTATAATTATTTGAATTAAATTGAATTAAAGTAAGCTTTGTTCCATTTTCAAGCGAAATTTTTTTTGGAATAACTTATTTCTGAAATTTACGTGTTTTAATAGTATATTCATAATTGAAATCAAAATTTCCATGGTAACAGCCAGGGCGAATTGTTCAAAATAGTTAGGGGTGTGTTGGGTGTTAATAATAAGTATCAGTATAGAGTTACTTTTATAGATGTCAAGTCAGGGTAAGTTGGGGGTGTATTTTCAATCTCTTTCACTTTATGTAATCCTTGCTTGAAAAGAAATGATTAAAAAGTAAAATAAAATCCACTTTTTCTGTTGGGTATAGAGGAGCAATGAAACATATTTTTCAAATTAACTTTAATTTACCATTTGGAAATATTCTCATCCTAATTTGAATCGTTATTTATCTTTAAACACATCCACATTAACATCATTTACATTCCGGCCGGTGTTCAATGTTTAAATAATTTGCATAACTTTTTAACCTATTTTCCTACGTCCGGATTCAAGGTTTTTTTTCTTGAAGTGTTCCAAGAAGTTACAGCTAAAATATATTCTTCCGCTCTTTTACCATTTTCCTAGACCCAATTTGAAGAGGATTCTTTTGGAACTATGACGTATTTTAGTAAGTTTTTCTTGTTGTATGATGATTCAGATTTGTTGGCGTTTCAAATGTGGAAGAACTTGAGGAATTTAGAATGCAATAAAAACACTTACCCCTGTTAAATTCAGACAGACGTGAATATAACAATCATGTAGCAGTCAAACATTCAATAGTTATAACCTGATGGCTCTCAAAAGTTTATGGAGAACATTACTTTAGCCGAAAAGCTTATATAAAATTATTAAAATCTTGTGACAATCAAACAAATTTGAACGTAAAAGATCTGGTCACAATATCCTGTAACATTACGAATTCACTTACTTTCTCATCGATGTGCCATAGATTCGATGTGTCTTTTCCAGAAATATTTTTATGTCAGCTGCTCTGATCAGCTTTGACCCTGGTGCCGACGACTGCATTTAAGTGTACTACTAGATTGGTTCCTCAGTTCCACACGTTTAATATTGAAATAGGTAAATACAACCGCCACTTCTACTCTAAAGATTTATTTTCCCTACTTCTCACCTGTGGAACTCCATTCCTTTCACTTGCTTCCCTGATAACTACATTATTCAAAAATTTAAATGTACCGCCAATCGCCATCTTCTGTCTTCTTGAATCCCCTTCATCTTCTCCCCTTTCCTCGACCCTCTCTATCCTCAGTCTTCTCTTTCAGTTTCACTACTCTCACTTCTCCCTCTACGTACTAGTGGCATTCCCACCTTGCTTAGGGTGAAACAATTAAAAATGTAACGATTAAAAATGTAATAATTAAAAATGTATCGATTAAAAATGTAAAGATTAAGAATATAACGATCTGGTTTGCCGTCGGAGGGACATAAATATTTTAAATATGATATTAATCTCTATATTTCTGAGATGGGGTATTGTAATTACTTACAGTATTTACATTGTACGGATTGTTGTTTTCGTCTTTGTTGCCATATTGACGACCTTTAGGCTGCTGTACGCTATCTGAAGAAGGTTGGAGCATACAACGGCCGAAACATCTGAATATGTCAAAAAAATGAGGACAATAGTCCGAAAAATGTAAATAGTGTGAATAATGATATTAATCTTACGAAAAATATTATTTTAAAATTTACTCAACGTACTGATCTGCCAAATATTACGCTATTCTGTCGTAGCATTTATTAACACATAGCTACTACACATTACTTATGTGTATAGCGAATCGCATCAACAGTGTTTTTGACTACATTCTTTGATTGAAAAACGTCATTTAAAATTTTGAAATTTTAAGTACGCATTTTGACTTTTTTTAACTCACACCGGGTAAGTTATACCTGAGTTTATATTAGTCTTAACTATAAGTAATTTCCGTTCCAGAAAACAGATTCTAATAACGAAAACACAATGTTAACAAAAATTATACATAGCAATTAATTATACATTAAAGTATAGCAATGATATATGAGACAGGAGGAAAGGTGGAGTAATGGATAGAGGCTCGGATTGAAGAGCCGAGTTCGAATTCCAGTATAATCCATTCCATTTACTTACGTGCTGATACGCTTAGGAACGGTATGAATCCTCTTCTTCTCAATCCACCAGTTATGTGTAAATAGCAGGACAGACCAGGTTCTATAGCCTTGGATGGCAACTGGCCTACCGCAGAAAGAAATAGCAACCTACTTAGGAAAAATATCTGCCTCGTCAAACGTGTATCGCCTAAGCGTGTATCACGCATGGCACATAACTGTCTGATATGAGACAGGCAGTGGATTGTCTGCAAATAACCTTTGAATGACGAGTCACAAGATCAAGCAGCAATTAATCAAGCATAACAGAACCAATCAGAGTTAAGTAATTACGTGAGAGTCGAATGATTATTCTAATTCTTGAATATTTGATAAATTTAAACAAGATTATTCAAGATCAGGTGAAAGATAACATCGTGAAAATAAATTTGCCGCGTTTTTAACGGCAACACTTCATATTCACCTGATCTTAAAGCAACCGATTGATAGCTTTCTGATCGCTGCAAAAAAGCATTGATGAGGAAAACTTCTTTCAATGAAATTCATGTTTTGCTGGGATGATTTTTCACATCAAAATCTGCAGAATATTATTCAAATTGTATCGAATACCTGCCTGATAAAATAATATATAATTGAATACAATATAAATGTACAGTAATTTGTGGAGAATGAAAAAGAGATAATTCCTCAGGGAGCCTTCAATTTGACAACCAAAATCACTGCTCAAATAATATAGGTAACGTATTCAGCGTATACTTTTAAGTGGCCGAGTGGCTAGAACGTTCGCATTCTGACCATGAGACCCGGGTTCGATCTCACCATGATCGATTTTTCAGGAAGGACTGGTGGAGTCGATCCAAGAGTTCCGCCCCTTTGGAAAAGTGTCTCAAAAACTACTGATCCAAGACTTGGGAGTGAAATTACGTAGAAGGAACCATTGGGGGGCTGTCAACAGCTGTGCTAGAACGAAGTCAGAAGTCATCGTGACCGAGAGTTTGAATGTGCTGGCCTTGTTCAGATTGTTGATCACGCTCGATAACACGCTCTTTCCCAGAAACTGTAACCAAGGTCTATAAACCCCAGTTTGACTTTGTGGGTGTTTAACAAAGATATATGAGACTGCGCAACGCTCTGCAATAATAGATTGGTATTATGGGAGTTTTAGTTTCAATACCAGCCCACAGCAGAAGTGAGCAAATGAGGTGTCATTCCTTCTTTTATTCAATATTTCAACACTTATTAAATATCACAAAATTGTAAAAAATATAAAATCAGCCACGAAAGGTAAAACATAAATACCTGAGGTGATATATATATATATATATATATATATATATATATATATAT